ACTGAATATACAAGTGGTCTACATATAAAACTAATGCTAGTGCTGTGTTTTTGGCTCGCTGGTTCATGAATGGCTCAAAATTCTTGAGCGTATTTTCTCCTAACCCTTTCATCAAAAAGGTGTCACTCACTTACAGTGGACTTGTAGTTACATAACCTGCACATGCAGCTGCCATAGCTAAAATACATCTTCTCAAAAATGTAACTACATGTCCTGAGGAGATACGTCATGGAGAGAACTGTGATTGGTCAGTTTTGGCTGCTTGTATTTTCTCCTACGGATTTCCAACGCCATTGAAGATTGTTGAGACAAAGCAAAACAGAGGTTACCTCGATGTAACTCCAGTTCTATAAGTAAGAATTGTAGCATTATCACAAAGTAAAATAAATAATGTAAATCAAAGCAAGATATTGCCTGAACTCATGCATCAAGTGTTTTGGTGATGATATCAGTAACGGGAGAAATCTGATACCAAAATCCCACCTTTATGACGTCATGTGTGAGACATAGTTTGGTTCTGTCTTCAAATCCCACCGAGAGCATTTCAGCAGCTGTTGTTTACTTGGGTATTTTGTCTTCTTCTACCGCAGGTACATAGGCTACATAGTTACATTTTTATTTTTTTGTCAGTTTTTAATTGGGTTTATTGTTCAAATTCAATCTGGAATCTGCATGGGGTATTTTATTTTGAAAATCAGCTGGATTCTTTATGTCATTTTTGTGTCTGACTTCCTGCCAATGTGATCTGCTCTGTGCTGCTTAATGTGGGTTGTGGCTCTCGTCAAAAATAGACTAGCCACCTATTCTTGGGCCACTATTCAGGTCAGAGCAAAGAGACGCTTCTGGTTGAATCACAAGCATTTTCTAGAATTATATATCAAACCCTTACCCTTTGCTTCAAGTATAAACTCAGTTTTAGTGACACATCCACAGGCACATCACCAACTAAGCCCTTAGACACTACTCTTCAACAATGTTGTTTTTTGGAGTTGGTGGAGATATCAAATATGTCAGATATTGTGTTTAGCACTTGGTCCGCTGCCTCAAAATGACCACACACAAAAAATCCATATTTACAAAAGGTTCCAAATAATTTCCTGTGTTGGCTCCTGGAAAGAACTATGTAGAGATTCTCAAGAATCTACTGGAATTCAAATGTTGGCAGTGTACCAAATGAATATTTGCACAAAATTACTCACTTTATTCCTGAAACTAACATACCTGTAAAATAAAAAATCTAGCCAAAGTAGAAAGCCGTTATATATCTTCCACCAGTAGAATGTTGCAAAAATTCTCTGTTTGACAATTTACTATTTCACATGTGACCACTAAAGTAGTGCTTGTTTCTTTTTTCTCCGTCAGATCTGGAGGGTGGAGAGCATCGGCAGAGTTCCTGTTGACCCAAAGACCTACGGGCAGTTCTACGGTGGGGACTGTTATATCATCCTGTACACTTACGGGAAAAGACAGATCATCTACACCTGGTATGACTCTGTTCACTCACTGAACTGGTTTTGCATAGAGCTGTAACTTCCTCTGTGATGTGTTCTAATGCTCCAAGCTTCCTGATTTATGTCGATTATATCTGAGTTTTTTTTTCATATTGTGCCAGCATTTAAATTGCGATCTGTCATGTTTATGCCTGTGATGGCACACATTTGTCACTCAAAGTGGCCACGCCCTTAATAATGCAGTACTTTAAGCCTTATATAAAAATTCACCCCCTGTACATTGTCATGAACGGGAAAATTAGCTATAGAGACCAAAAGTGTTTTTGTACCAGGCTGTAAACATGTTTATTTCTGCTGTAAAGTTGGGCATTTTAAATATGGGGCCTAATGGAGATTAATTCACTTCTGGAGTCAGCCTCAAGTGGCCGCTGGAGGAACTGCAGGGGGTTGCCACTTGGCTCTAGATCAGGCCTTTTTTTGCAAGTTTTGCAACGTAGTTTCTCTTACACGTTTAGAGAGCAAGCGGTATTCAGTCACCTAGATTCCACTAAATCCTACACACTTGATACTTAATAGCAGTATTTAGTGACATTCTGTCACCACAATGACAGTAGCAGTTTTCATTATTTACATATCCATTTGACTCGTTGTTAATATAAAAAAATATAGATTAGTTCAGCTTTAATGTTTACTGTGGAGTTATCTTAAACATCCAGTACTAATCATTGTTATTTGTCTCCTTCTGACCTGTAGGCAAGGAGCCAGCTGCTCTTTGGATGAGCTGACAGCCTCGGCCTTCCTGACTGTAGAACTGGATCGTTCACTGGGAGGGAACGCAGTTCAGGTACAACCAGTATGAAGTGAAAATGAAAAGCACATTTAGTGGATGCCTGAAATGGCTCGTAAATGTATCTCTCTGCTAAATGAGGTTTGCAGTACTTTGTCACACTATACAGTAAGCCAACATAAGTTTTTCTTTAAAGTTACAGTAGGTGATTTTCAAAAAATATATTTTTTTTTGTCATATTTGCTGAAACTTTCACAATATCCTGACAGTAGTACATGAGACAGATAATTGGGAACCGGGCCTGAGCAAAAACGACTAATCAGAGGCGACAAAGATAATTTATTGTTGACTCTCATTCCCAATTTT